TTGCTTTCCCGGTAACCGGTTTTTGATGTAAATTAAAGGTTTCTGTTTTTATTGTATGTTTATCTGTGTTCACATATTCAAACTGTCAGTCTTGTTGTTACCAAAATAAAAATCAATCAATCAATCATTCAATCAATCAAAAACTTCTCCCACACCACTTTCATATAACCATAATTATTATTCTTGGATTTAATGTGCTCGCACATCGTTAGCATCACCAGACATTTTCTCATATAGACCTGAACTTTCAGTGGGACAAAAAATGGAAAGAGATGTTATAGATGATCATTACATCAAATGGGAAAGAACATCCTGTCTTCTGTCTACCGTTGTACGATGCTAACAAGTGCACTTGTGGGTTTCAATTGGTCCGATACCTTGTCTGTAGTCAATCATCTTCGAAAGCGATTGTCCACATTCTAGAAAGAACCCGCATTTCGGCAAACTGAAAAAGGATTTTGGGGGACTAACTTTTTGGTATAAGCTTTATTGTAAGTATATTTAATATAATTGAAAAAAAATTTTGTAAAATCATTTTACACAAAAAGCGAGCTTTCGATACTTCACAGTATTATCATCAGGCTAATATGACTGTGAATTTAGAAGAGAGATGAATATACATACTAGTTAAAACCGGGGAGAACGAAAATACTAGAAAAACTTAAACATAGAAAAATATGTAGTATAGAATCGAGTGACGGTTACATTTTCTAGACTGTCTAATAGAATATCACTGCCTTTAATGAAATATCATTGTAGGCTAGCTTTTTTTGTTCGTGCGTCAGTAGTGTCTCTTTTATTTGTCTTTTAACTTCATTTATATTGTGAAGTATCGAAAGCTCGCTTTTTGTGCCATCAAACGCAATACTTGTTTTGCTGCTTTTAATATCAATTTTTTTCATCGATGAGTATCGGCAAACGAGCGATAATTTTTCGCTATGAAAATAGATAAACAAAACACGAGATATTGGAAATACGTCAATCAACAATTTCAATTGAGTAAAAACTTTGTCCACCATAAATATTTTGATATCCATCGAACTTTTGTATAAATTGTTGCTTGCACGTAGTTAATAACCGTCCCACATAATAATCGGATTCATGTAACAGAAAACTTCTTGCTACCGGTTATGCAAAACCTAAAATGAAAGATGAGCATAGGTAAATAGGCAGTGTAATCGAGCATCGACAGAATGGAAACCTCACCTCTTCTGCCCATCAGATACCACAGTGAACACATACCTCACACTCTCTTTACTAGCAAAGAATCAGACAAAGTGCAACGAAACACACAATAATCGTTTTGATTTGAATGTGCTAGGTATATTTTTCTGATATGTATAATGTATTGATAATAAAGATAAAAAAATAACACACGAGAAATGTTGAACTTGAGAACACCGGTCAGTAAGAAACATTGCTTCGTGAAACAGTGAGAGGAAAAGTAATTTGAGAGAAGAGAAGGGTTTTATAATTTCAAATCTTTCCGAGTAAGTAGACTCACAATTGGCTATAATTTGAAATTGAGGCAAGAGCGGTGACGAGATTCAGTTATTACTAATTGGATTTTTCGGAGCGCTTACATTATGTCCTTTCCTGGTTCTGTCATTCATGAATACCAGAGAGGTTGCACTTCGATTGTAATTACTTTTCCCTTTAGTGGTATCGTAGAAGACGTTTGGGTACTTGGCGGCTAGTTTATACAACAACGTATTTAAAAATCCGAAAGGTTTTAGTCCAAGTTTCAATCCTTAATAACGAAACACACAATATCGTTTGATCTGAACGTAGTAGGTATATTTTTTCGAAAATTTTTTGTTTGGTTTTCGTTTGTTAATTATTTATACCAATTAGAAGATGTTCGGTGTTAAGACGTTATATGAAAAGATTAGCTGGCTTACTAAAAGCGTTTTGTTTTTTCAATAAAACGTGCTACAGCTGCGCTTGTGTACTCGTATCAATACCCGGCTCATTTAGCAATAAAATATTCGTTTTTAGTTTTCTAAGACTTAGTTGTTGAAAAAGATTTTTGCGGTGTTAGTCATACAACGAACACCGAAGGAAACAATGATCGATTGTCTCAGGTTCAGCGCCACATGCGCATAGACAGAATGGAACACACAGTCTTCTATGAAGGTAGTAGTTAAGTTGTGGAAAATTTGCCTTTAAGCGCATAAATAAAATTTCGGATTTCCTATTTGGAAACATCAGTAACTTTGAAAATACAAGTTCACTTCGATTATCGGAAACCGCCTCGTTCAGTTTCGATCTTATTGTGACATTTTAATATGACGATACTCAGGAGTGTTTTTCTAATAAATCGTTGCATTCTCTGGAGGCAATTGTGAAAAAAATCTTTAATGTCAACATCCACAGACTCAATTGGCGTACGCGCGTTACATCGCAAATTATAACGAGCGCGCTGGGTAGGTTCACATAAATAAACACGCAAATTATCAGCAACAAAACCTCGGATTATTTTAGCGATTAATAATAAATGTGTGATCCTGAAACGATCCTTTAGATCAATCCAACACAATATGTTTAAAACTCGTTCGCGAGACATACCCTTCACAATGCCTAGCACTAGCATAGCTACATGATACTGAACAGATTCAAGTTTATTTGAATTTACATCTGTTGTTAGTAAGTAAATTGCACTACCGTAATCAAACAATCACAGAACAATAGACTTAGATACAACTTTCAAGAGCATTTTTATAAGTCAACCGTTTGTTGTATTTCATCAGTCCGACAATCAAATCCGACACATCAAATCATACAATTTCGGAGAAAAACAACACTATAAACAATATGACTAACCGAGTGATAACAGCGAATAATGGAAAGAGGAATGATGATGATCTGAAACAATTAGAGATCATGTCGACGAACAGTAATTATCCGGTTAAAACTGTTCGATCAAAAATGGAACATGAAATAAAACGATTGAATGAGATATAAAATGCACCAAATGAGGAGGAACCTAGAGAGCGCAGGGGAGGGTACGGTGGTAGTTGTACACCTTCGGGGAATGAACGAAAGAAGAAAATCGAAATTAAAAACATTTAATATTAAAACGTTTTCCCAACATTCTCCAAATATATTTGTCAGAATTAATAAAGCGAAACTAATTGCAGGAAAAGATGCTGAACAATTGATGCCATCGGTATATTTAATTCCGCGCGAGTGTGCTGCCTCGTATGGCGGAGAAACAAATGACTGTGCCAGAAGAGCAGGTGAACATCAGTAGTATGTTGATCGAGCATTAGGAGGAGATGATTGTGGCGATTCCGAATTAGGTAAACACAGGATATGTACGGTTTAGTTAGTTACGGTAGTTTATAGATATTCCTCGACGAATTTCCAGCTTTCTAGGAAATGTTGATTTTTCATAAATTCGATTTTCTATGAAGGTGGACAATGTTAGGTAGTGACATTTTGTCACTACTAATATTGCTTCTTTTCCTTTTCTATCCAGTCATTGGGATTGGCGTCTCTCTTATGTATAAAAAGGAAAAATTCCCTTTCAGATTCTTTTGTGTAAGGTCAAAGAAAGTGTTGACTTTTGCTACGAATAGTAGTGATTCTTTTTCTTCTTCATCCAATCATTCAAATTTATATCTCTCTTATGTGTAAAAGGGAAAAATCCCTTTCAAATTCTTTTGTTCATTGTCAGATAAAAGTATTTATCTTTCCAGACTTGTCTCTCTATAACGTGTAAACAGAAGTCATATGCCGTGTGCTCTAAAAGATTCGATTTTTTCCCAGTCTATTCTACATTTTTTTGTGAATTTTAATAAGGAATATTTTTCTCTCTCCCCGGGTATAAATACTCGTATAATCTCATGCAGTTAGCCAGAATTTTAATGATATGCGTGAAGTGTGTTAAGTATTCAATAAAAGTGAAAACTCCATTCAAGTATAAAGACGGATTCCGGGACCACGTTTAACAATTGGTGCACTAGCTGGTGTTTATTGGTAAGTCCACACCGATAACAGTAAACAGCGAATCCGGGTTTACACGAAGTTAGGTATCTAATGGCAGAGGGGACTCGGTCAAAGGTTAAAGCCATAGATATATTACTACAAGAGTCGAATCAACAGCAACAACCAGTAGTAACACATACACAAAAACGCCAAATGAATGATGATAAAAATACTCATATGTCAAGAAGCAGTCATCATAGTGACACGGATTCAAATATAATTTTGAATAATCACAATAGTGACAATCAACTGCAGCCATTAAATAATGAAATATCTCCAAAAGCCGCATCTAGAGCAACTTCAGTAAAATCATCCGAAGACTATTCAAAATTGAATTTATATACGTTTTATGGTACTAAGTACGATAATATTCGACTATGGTTAGACAAATTCAGGATGGAATGCAGTCGACAACAAATTAAGCAAAAAGAATGGATACATTGTGTGACATCATATTTAGGTGGTTATGCTTATAAATGGTTCGAACAGAACGAATATGATATTTATGATTGGACTGAGTTTGAAATTATGTTACTGAGTAAATTTGACAATATCCAATTACAACAGCAACTATCATCAACATCAGTACAGCATATAGACCCAAATAACATACTACAACAGCCAGTATTATGTACAAAGGTAGCATCACCATTAACGAAACTACATGCACCACAAACTAGTACATATGTCCCAAGCGATAATACATTAGAAAAAAAACATATTCGGCAAGAACATCAGCGATATCAATCACCAAATATGAACGACAATGAGATGGAATCTGATTGGATATCAGATTATAGACCAGCCGAGTTAAGAAAATTTGAATCTGATTTAAGACTATCGGATATTCGACAACAAATAAATGATATTTCAATGTTTTCGGCTGAACCTCATCAAAATCTAGTTATATGGCTGCACGAAGTCGAGCAGCCATTAAATCTAGCTCAGATTACCGATCAAACGAAATATGAAAAAGTTATATCGAAATTGGGCGGAGAGACGAAGATATGGTTTTAAAATAATCGATCCGTACTGAAAACATGGCCTGCATTAAAAGACGGTCTCAAACAAACATTTTCATCGTCCTGGCAATCAGATGCAATAGTTAAAAAACTAAATGATAGGCGACAAGCTATTGATGAATCAGCATTAAAACATGTAAATAATGCTATACAGTTGTGTCACCAAGTTAATCCACAAATGGATAAAAATACTGTAATGAAATATCTTAAAGTAGGATTGAAACAATCATTATAATCATTTTTTGCATTGAAGGAACCGAATACTCCCCAGGAATTTTTACGAGCTGCTCAAGAAGCTGAATTATACCCGTCAGATGGTCAAGATGAAAATACATCATTTATACAATCGCAAAATGTAATAGCAAGTTCAACATCTCAATCCAGTCGACAACAATATTCGTCACGGTTCCCACATTATTATCCAGCACAATCGAGTCAAGAATTTCAATCACAAACCAAGCATTCTACCGCACATCTCTGATAAAAATTTCGCCATCTTTTGTTCAGTATTTGAGGAAAAACAGAGCCCAAAAGTTGAAAAAATGTAATTCCGTCACACGCGTTTAAGCCGATACTGATAATAATAAACATTTATCCTTTTACATTTTAGAAAAGGCATACCGAATAGTTCTTTTATTTAAATAGTAGTAGCCAACGAAATTTACAATTTTGCATATATGGAAACAAGATAGAAATCTAAACTACGTGCGTGGATAGAAAAACGTTTTGTCATATCAGGAGATAGAACTTTAATCTTCAAATTTCATAAAAATTGGAGCTTCGCTAAAGTTTGCGCACGCATTGTATCAACAACACAACTTCTCCAAAAACACACTAGAAAAATGTTTTATTTTCTCCTCCAACTTAGAAAGTCCAAAAATAGAAACTTCGTTGACAACCGACAGCGTACTTCATGCCGATTCTAAGTATATGTTTCTTTCCCAATAGCTATGACTGATTTGTTTTCTGCGTATGATTCGATTTTCCGATGGACACGTTTTTTGGCGTATTTTTGTGTATAGGCTTTTCCCGGTTTAAATAAGTTCTAGGACAAAAATTTTTATGCTATTAAATAGAGCATGTTTCAAAGTATATTAATCACTCTCCAAATCACTGAAAAATCAACTTTCATTTTTTCATTAAAAGCCGGCCTGAATGTACAGTGTGTGAGATGGTTTTTTCCAGTTCCACTGGCGTTCATCAATAAATGCATTTTTATCCTAAAGAACATTGCGCTCTGGCCAGCCATCTCTGCTACCGGAGTGAAATTCCGTAACGATTTTTTTGCATTTTGTTTTTCTTATAATGTTTGAGTAACGAGACGCCTAGAGATCTAGAATATCACAGATTAAAGAGAAAA